GCAATGACATGTAACGGGGCAACAAAGTTGAAGTCAGAAATATCAGAAAAATCATATTAAAATGTGTAGGCTTTCTCATCACATACACTTGCACTTTGTGGATCTATTTAAATATTTAGGAGATGAACCGAACACAAATCATAATTCTACAATAATATTTTGATAAGAGAAAAAAAAAAGCAATTATATAAGAAAAAGAAAGGAAACACAGAAAAGAAACAGAAGTTTAGCAAAAGGAATGAAAAGTGCTCAAAATGTATGGGACATTGATGGTTACATACTTTTCTCTTCATCTTGAATAATTTTTAATTCACTAGTTGAAACTTGTAACTTTAGGCAATTATCTCTGGATGTTCTGTGCTGGAGAGTTGGCTGCAATTTTAAATTGTGATCGATTCAAATCACTACTACCTAGAACAACTAAAGTGAAATGCCTTGCAGATGCTGGTTATTTTATCAATGTGTAAGCTTATTTGTCTTCTTTTTACTTATCTTTCTTTGTAAATGCAGCCCATGATTCATGGCAGGTCATATTATTCTCTTTCTAGAAAAAAAAATCATTTTAATTCTGAAATAGTGTTATGTATTGTTCCAACTTAAAATTGATACTATGTTTATATTCATTGATCAATCGCTGCTAGTTCTGTCCTTTATCTCACAAAATTCATATATGAGGATTTATACAAAACAATGTGATTAATTTTTCTTAACATTCCCAGTTAAAAAAAAAAACTATGATTATTTAATTAACTCTAGTGAAAATTCGGCTGTCACAAACTGAGCCAAGGTTTTTCTACAGAAGCAGGTTACTTATAAATCAGCCAGTAGATGTGTCTTTTATGATCATTATTCTATAGTGCAGACTCAGAAATTCTTTATGCAGGTGGACAAGCTTAAAGGGGAACTAGAAACATAAAACAAGTAGAAAGGGAACACGGAAACTCGAGTGTTTGTTAGAGAAAAAGGTTAATGACTTGAACTCAAAATTAGAAGATGTAAGTTTTACGTTTACCAACAATTCTGTTTTAACTAATGTGCCTTAAGTGCATCTTATTATTGTTTTAACTAATGTGCCTTAAGTGCATCTCATTATTGTTTTAACTAATGTGCCTTAAGTTCATCTCATTATTGTTTTATGTGATATGATACAGGGTGAGATGTTATCACTAAGATAAAAGTAGAGTGATTGGGTTATTGTTATATTTGTTTTGATGATGGTATTGTTGTTATTATTGTGTTTGATTTGTTAGCTCACCCATGTTTTTTGTATGTTTAGTGCGATGATTATATGACATGTGTGTTGTACGGAAGCATACAAGAATACATGATATGGAATAGATGACACGAGACAGATGTGCCTTGGTGGAGCTTAAACATTCATCTGAATTTTATGAAAGAAATTTCTTTATAAGTTTAATTTGATGTTTTAATCTATTGGATGTATGAATACTTGAGTTTTAAAGTTGTAATAAAGTTTAGTTCTTTTGGATTTGTTAACTTTGTCTTTATAAAATTTTTGACTTTGATGTGCTTAAGTGACTCGTAGTTTGAACGTTACAGTTTGTTTCTCTCTCCTATTACTATTCCTTTGAATGAGGTTAAGAAAGAGGCCCCTCTCATGTTATGTTATCTCGTGTCTATAGGTTTGCTTCTCGTGTTGATGCTGATTCCTATTGATGAAAATAGCAAATTCGGTCGAAAATTATCCAGGTACTTGTTTCTGTTTATAATATGAAAATTTGATATCAAAAGTCGTGATTAAGTTAGTATAAGCTTTTGTATTTTCTTTTTCTTATTGTGACACTGGGCTTGAATCCTTGCTTTTCTAGTCGAATAAAATGTTTCCTTTTTCAGAAAAAAATGGTACAAACATTTTGTTCTGAAAAAACAGTACTCTTCTGACACGACATACAGACATCAGACTTTCGGGTCAGGTGGATCCAAGTGGAACACAGTCTGGGTCCTACACATACCAATATCATACACAAACAGTTGATATGTGTTTTCAATCCACGACTACAAATGCAAAGAAAAATAGGGAAGTTAGTGGTGAACGATTCTCCGAAGAGACTACAAATAGTTGTGGAAGAGAAGCTGATATCCCTGTTAAGGTCATGCGAAACGTGCACGCGGCTGCACCAGATTCAAGCCCAAATAGTCACTCATGGACTACAAAGCAATGATTACGTCACCCCTAGTTTCATCACGACGTGCGCGCGTCTCGGTAGAATGGGTCACGCTGGAAGAGTGTTTAACACAATGGCGCAACCAAACGGTGCCATGTGGAATGCCATGTTCCGAGGCTTTGCCCTATTGGAGTGTCCCTTTGAAGTTGTCGTTTTGTTCGCGCAAATGCATCGCGCTGGTGCTTCGCCGAATTGCTTCACTTTCCCATTGGTGATGAAGTCGTGTGCTCAGGCGAACGCGGTTAGAGAAGGAGAGCAGGTTCACTGCGTGGTGGCCAAACGTGGTTTTAAGTCGAACGCGTTTGTGGGAACCGCGTTGATTCACATGTACTCCGTGAGAGGGGAGGTGTTCATCGGGGATGCTTATAAGGTGTTTGGCGAAATGCGCGAGAAGAATGTCTTCGCTTGGACTGCGATCATCGCTGCTCACGTGGCGTGTCGTGACATGGCTTCCGCAAGGCGTCTTTTTGACCTGGCGCCGCAGCGTGACGTTGTGCTGTGGAATGTCGTCGTTTCGGGATACATCGAATTGGGGGACATGGTAGCCGCGCGAGCGCTGTTTGATAAAATGCCGAACCGCGATGTGATGTCATGGAACACCGTTTTGAACGGTTACGCCTATAACGGTGAGGTCGAATCGTTCGAGAAGCTGTTTGATGAAATGCCTGAGAGGAATGTTTATTCTTGGAACGGGTTAATTGGAGGGTATGCTCGGAATGGGCTCTTTAACAAAGTTTTGGAGTCTTTTAAACGGATGTTGATGTTACCAAAACAAGAAGGGGAAGGTGGTGATGTTGTGGTCATTCCCAATGATTACACAGTTGTGGTAGTGTTGTCCGCATGTTCCAGATTGGGGGACCTTGAGATGGGTAAGTGGGTGCATGTTTATGCAGAGAGTATTGGGTATAAGGGCAACTTGTTTGTTGGAAATGCTTTGATTGACATGTATGCAAAATGTGGGGTTATACAGAAAGCACTTGATATGTTTAATTGGTTGGATGTGAAGGATATAATAACTTGGAACACCATAATTAATGGCCTTGCCATGCACGGTCATGCAGTTGATGCTTTAAGTTTGTTTGAGCGGATGAAGAGCATGGGAGAGAAGCCAGATGGTGTTACATTTGTTGGGATTTTGTCTGCTTGTACGCATATGGGGTTAGTGAGTGAAGGGTTTCTGCATTTCCAATCGATGGTTAATAATTACTCAATTGTGCCTCAGATTGAGCATTATGGTTGTATGGTGGATTTGTTGGGAAGAGCTGGTCTTATAGATCAGGCTATGGATTTCGTGAGAAAGATGCCAATAAAACCAGATGCGGTTATATGGGCAGCACTGCTTGGGGCTTGTCGGATGTATAAGAATGTGGAAATAGCAGAAGTGGCACTTGAGCAACTCATTGAACTTGAACCCAACAACCCTGCAAACTTTGTCATGCTTTCGAACATATACAAGGATCTTGGAAGATGGGAGGATGTTGCCCGGTTGAAGCTTGCAACGAGAGATACCGGGTTCAAGAAATTACCGGGATGTAGTGTTATTGGGTGCAATGATAGTGTGGTAGAATTCTATTCCTTGGATGAGAGACATCCTGAGACAGAGAGTATATATCGGACATTGAAGGGATTGACGACTTTGTTAAGATTGAATGGATACGTCCCAAATCTTGTGGATGTTGCTCATGGAAACTGAACGAGTAGGGAGGTATCTTGATGATACCCAAATCTTCATTAACTGGCTCAGCATTTGAAAGACCCAATCAGTTCTATAGACCAACGTCAATTCTTCAAATTCTGGGTCTGTTTTGAAACAGTGGAAGAGCTACATGGTAAAATCACATAGTTTTTCATCCTGCAGCTGCTTGTTGTCAAACTCAGTTATTGTCAAATTCTTGGTTGGTTGATTGATTCTCCTCACGCTTCTCGTCCTCTCTCAGCCAAGCACTCTTGTTCGTTTCTCTCCCCTATTGCTCTTCCCTTGAATGAGGTTAAGAAAGAGGCCCCTCTCATGTTATGTTATCTCAGGCTTATATTTGCTTCTCGTGTTGATGCTGATTCCTATTGATCAAAATAGAAAATTCGGTCAAAAATTAACCAGGTACTTGTTTATAGCATGAAAATTTGATGTAAAAAACGGTGATTAAGTTATTATAAGCTTTTGTATTTTCTTTTTCTTCTTGTGACACTGGGTTTGAATCCCTTGCTTTTCTGGTAGAATAAAATGTATCTTTTTTCAGAAAAAAAAATTGGGTGCATTTCAGGTACATACGCAAGCACCTTTGCAGTGAATTTCCCGTCATTCTTCATGTGGAAGATATGAAGGCCTTTCATCCCAATCGTGCTTATGGTTTGCCCCTTAATCTTAACTCAAGTTTGACTTCTGAATATTTTTCTTAGATGAAAGTGTATCTTTGTTCTCTCTTGCAATTTTGTTGCCTTCTAATGGAGATTGTTTACTAGTGATAATGATACTAACACGACCAAAATAGTTTATGTAGTGGACAATCTTCACCTCACGAGCCAACTTTTGAGTTTGAGTTACGTCCCAGTACTGTTATCAGATCATTCATAGTGTTCTATTATAAGTGGGAAACAACCTTTTGACATATAAATACACACATATTTATGTATTGTTTTTTTTTTGTCTAAAATTGGTTAGATATTTTAAACAGATTCTTTTTTGGGTAAGTTTGTTCTGTGGTTTTTATACAATGAAAAAGGGTGATTGGAAAAGTGAAGGATTGGATTTAGGAACGTTGAGCAGGAGATTGCCTTACCCTTTGCTTGGTTGCTTCATTCATAATGGTAGGCGGCGATTGCCGGAAAAGTGTAACTTATAACCTAAAATGGTTGAAGGAGACCATTCTAAGGTTTGACATAAATAATATGTTTTTAATTTAGAAATTGCAATTAGAAATATCTACTTTCGGTGTCCATTCTAAGGTTTGACATAAATAATATGTTTTTAATTTAGAAATTGCAATTAGAAATATCTACTTCCGGTGTAGCTGATGCCCTTGCTGGTATGAGAGCTCATCAGAAGATGGCTGAGTTTTTTATTCCACCACCTGAAAGCTTCGGATTCTTGCTTAGGGGATCAAGCTTCATATAGCTAGCTTTGTTGCTTCCTGTTCTGTCTTTTTCCTTTCCCTTTGTACCAAGAAAAAAACTAGCTAGTTTGAGGAGTGGATAGGCGACGTGATAGTGCTGATATTGTTCTAAACAGATTTATGCAAGTATTCATTTCGAAATTAAATAATTATTCATTTAGAGAATGAACGTTGCATAAATAAGACGAAGTGTCCTGAATGAACCAATTTATTTCTTATCCTTTGGCAGAGCTAGATCTGAAACATGATAGCAAGTTTTAATCTATTATATCTCTCTACGGTGATGATTTCTAAGTTATCTGTGTTTTATTATTAGTAGTTCATCAATATTAACTATAGCATGCCTCTTCATGCAGTTTTGGGCTATGAACCACATTCAGTTTTGCCAATTGGAGTTGTTGCATTAGCTGACAACACAGGTTTTATGCCTCTTCCCAAAATAAAAGTTCTTGCTAGCAGTGCGGTAAGATTTTTATATACCCTGTTTTGTAAGAAGGTTATTAAGGATATAATTTAAAAAATTTCTTATCACACTTAATAAATAGGTTTTTTACACACCTTTTTTGCGACACATGGACTTCGTTGGGTTTGACTCCAGTGACAAGGAAAAGGTTTACCTCTCTGTTGGATGCTGGCTACAGTTGTATCTTAATACCTGGTGGAGTTCAAGAAACATTTCTCATGGAGCATGGTTCTGAGGTACATTGTTTTTCTCTCTTCCTCTTTAGTATATATTTTTATATTTTTATCTTTTTCGGTAACTGAAAATGTTTATTCTTTTAGATATAGTATTATAACTGATGTCAAATTGGAGTAATATGTTGGTACAGGCATTTTCTCTTGCTATGCAAGCACTTGAGCTGCATTGCCATTTGAATGGTCCATGTTTGATAGTCTTAACTAGCACTTTAGTTTCTTCCCCCTCTGATATTTCATGTCTAGTATTGATGGAAAGGTGGGAAAATTACATTCTCTTGATTCATTTATATATGTTATGATCTAATTTTAGGATCACTAACCTGAAATGTTTGAGCTATGGCAATATGACTTGCCAATAACACTCTTAAGGTGTACCTGATTCTTGAGATTTGAGTAATGTAAAATATGAGAGATTATGTAATTGGGGATAATGTAATTCTCCCAACGCTAAGGAACAAGGTTGATAAAGCTTTTCATGTGAAGCACTAGACTTGTATAGAAATATAATGACCAACAAAAAAATAGTAGTTAGAATTATTGAGCAGCAATGGCATTAGGCTATTTTATAAATGTACAATAATGAGCCAAGATACTGTTATCTGTAGCAACAAAGTCATACCCGTTTGCACACCGCGATGGTTGTAATAAAGAAATCTTTTATTTAATATGCCTCATGAAACTGGTGCGATCATAGTCCTGTTTGTTTGAATTCTGACATTGGCTGTGAAGTCATTTCAATTTGATTATAGCATAGCAATGGGCCCACTTATTACAATCTACCAATTAAACACCTTGTCATTTTGTATGGTTGCTTTTGTAATTGAATCATTGTACAATCACAAAATGCCTAAAAATATATGCAAAGAATATACTCAGTACATCATATTTGCTTGATAATTTGGTGGCTATATATTGTCTGATTGTTTTTTAAATAATGTTTCTACTATATATAAAGATAGTCCGAAAAAGGTTCCAAATAAAATGGGTATTCAATATGAAACTCCTTTATATAATTTGTATTCAAGCAAGTTAATAATACTTTGAATCATTTGCTTTCTAGATTGCCTTTCTTAAAGCAAGGTGAGGATTTGTGCGCATAGCAATGGAGAAGGGCAAACCCCTGGTGCCAGTTTTCTGTTTTGGGCAGGTATTTATTTCTTGCCCATGTCATTCTCTAGGAAAAATGTTGCAGATTTTGCGGACTCTCACACATCAACTGCAAACTGTTAAAACTAAAATGTCGCTGGGTATTATTTCCTTATCTGCTAATGTTGCTACTTTATGTTTTAGATTTTTTCTGGATTCAAATAAACTATAACTTCCCTTTTGGTGTAATTTTGTTGTAGTCAAATGTCAATAAGTGATGGAAACCAGGTGGGAAGCTATTTCTGAGTTTTTCGAGGGCTGTCAAGTTCACCCCAATATATTTTTGGGGAATTTTCGGGTATGTTTTTTCGTTTAAATGTCAACTTGCCACCTGCCAGTGATCTCCTTTACATCTATTTTTCAGTTTCAGTAATCAAAGGGATTTTGCATGATAATGAAACTAATTTTCTTAATTCAAACTTGAAGTTGTTGAAACAGTTTCACTAGTCAAGGGGGTTTTGTATGATGAATGAAGCTAATTTTCTTAATTCAAACTTGAGGTTGTTCAATGAATTAAATTCGGAAAGATGGAACAATAGAAAAAAATCGTTTCTAAAATGTCAAACCAATTTGAGAATCAGTTTGGTAAATAATATGGAAGGTCAGTTTTGTCTGGTTCAGCTTAAAATATTTGCTATTGACTGGGAAAAGGTGGACTCGATTGGAGGATGCATGAATTTTACAGTCAATCATTGTTTTTTGGACAGTAATCATTTGACTGGTCTATCAGTATGAAGCTTAAATTACATTGGAGAAGTTGATATCTGGCACTAATGTTTTACACGGGTTATATTTTCTCTTCTTCAGATCTCCGATACCCTTTAAACATCCACTGCATGTGGTGGTGGGTAGACCAATTGAACTCGAGAAGAAAGGGCAAGTGGCTACAGCTCACGCAAATGGGGAAGAAATACAAAGGTTTAATACTGCAGGGGTGGGGATTGAAACTACCATGAAATTATGTAATTTTCATGCGTCTCATGCTATTTGATTTTCTATTATTTTAATTGGTATGTCAGTCAAATTGCTAATCATGCCTTATTTTTATTTTCACAAGTCGATGTATATTTTAGACTGGATAATGCCATTGATATGAATAACTAACAAAATGTACTCAAGCATTATACTTATCAATATAGCCCATATTACCCTGCACTCATGTAGTAGATAAAAAGTGTACATAAAAAAAAATTGTATGGGTCGAATTGATCATAAAAACTTTATAAGTTAAGGCTATCTGTAAAAAAGATCTTTAAAAATGAAAATGAAAAGAAAAAGTAATAACTTTAAAAAAATCTTTATATACATAAAAAATATTTATTGAATGAAATCTACATTCAAGTTAGTATGGGTGGGATTGAGTCAAATCAATTTTAATTAGTTAAATTGAGATTATATGAAGTTTATAAGGTCAAATCTTGTTCAAGTGGAGTTGAATCCAGTTTAGTAAAGTTAAGACGAATCATGTTTGAATCAAGTTGATGTTAGATCATGGTATAAGTTAATTCAAGTTAGATTGAATCAAGTTTTGTTCGTTAAGTTGGGTTAAGACAAGTTTTGACTTATATTTAACTAGTTCAAATTGGGTTAAGTTAGTTCATACCTATGTCAATATGAGTAGAGTTGGATTATGACCAAGTCAAGTTACTTGGAGGTAGATTTAGGTTAAGTCGAGTCGGATTAGATTTATGTTGTGTAGGATGAAGCTTAGGTCTTGATTAAGGTCAAGTTGAGTTTGTTTAATTCTAGGTTAGACTAAGTTGGATCAGCCTAAGGTCAAGTTGGGTCCTAATCAAGAAAGGTTAGGTTGGATTAAATTGAGTCAAAGAGTTTAGGGTTCAGAGATCAAGAGTCAGGGTTTAGGGTGAACTTACAAGGATTGGGTTGAGATGTGCTCGAATTAGGTTGAATTAGGGTAGTTGACTAAGTTAGGATGCAAATGAGTCAAGTTGAGTTAAATTAGTCAAGGTTAAGTAAGGGTTAACTCGTGTTAGTTCTGGTCGAGTTTAAGCTAAATGGAAATGATTAGAATTAAATGAAACTTAAGTTGAATTTAATTAAAATAAGTTAAATTGTCTTAAAATTGAACTCAGACCAAGTTAAGTTGAGTTCAATGTTGGATTTAAGTTAGAAAATGTTGAGTCAAGTTAGGTTAGACTTATCTTGTTACAAATAATAATAATAATTAATTAATAATCAATTTATATTTAGTACCAAATATTTAAGTATTAATTTGTAATTTAAAACATTTGATGAATGCATACAACTTTGAGAAATATTTAAGATTAATTAATTTAATATTACAGCGGGTGAACTTTTTAAAAAAGACTTTTTTGTGAAAGTTTTGAAGATTGGAATTTTTTCAATCCACTCACTTCATAGTTCGATAACTTTATTAACAAGGGTGTTAAAAATATATTTATTTCTGTTTTCATTAATATAGTTAGTAACTCTTTGTTATGAAATTATTCATGACGTACGGGCATGCTATTTATTGCTTTCACCCAATAAAAGATGTAAAAACATTTTATGACTTGGAGTTTTATAAAACCCTCAGATTTTGTTTTTGAAAGAGAATAATTGAATGAATTTTTGAGGATTTGAAAATAAATTTTGTTGTTGTTTATTTGAGTGAATTTGTAGGTAGGTGAGAGTGGATTTGAAAGTAAATTTTTTTAATCTCTGACATCAATCAAATTCTACACTAATTGTCACAACCGTTGTTTCTAAATTCACTCTCACTTATCTTCAAATTCACTCAAATAAACAACAACAAAATTTATCTTCAAATCCACTTAATCACTCTCCTAAAATCCATTCAAGTGAACAAAGGGTGAGATATTATATAACGATAAACTATTATAAAACTAAAACTATTAAGTTAACAATATGTTTTATATTTCTAACTATTGAATATTATGACATTTTACAATTTAAATATTATATCAAATTCCTTCAATATACTTATTATTTTGTTTTATTGTAAACAAAATCTCTTCAGCAATTGGAAAAGGCGAGAGAAGAATAATGGTAATCCCTTCTGTGCGGAGTTCGGCAAAAGATGAAGCTGAAGATCGTGCAACGTTGGACCATATTATTAGGCACTGATTGTAGTGACTTGGACCCAAAAATAAACTTCCTTCTTACGCTGTGAAGTTTCCTACTGCAACTGCTCAATTTTTACTTGCATCCCATTCATTTTTAAAATTTCACTTTTACCCTTTATTGTTTTATATGAAAGTGACCTCTTAGCCTAGTGCGAGCAATTCTATAGCTAACAAGGATAAACGAAGTGATTCTCATAAACCATTTGCTTGTTTCAACTCAGATCATCTCTGTTCGAACATAAAATGCCAAGTTTATATATATATATATGGATAGGGAGTTTGCTAACATGCATTTGTTTCTCTCTCATTTTTATACCCTCTCTCATCCATACACAATAATCCGCGATACTGCAATTTGTTGTTCTTGCTCTGTTCTGTTCATTTATTTTTCACTTTAATAACAAAATAATTGATGAAGTTGATGTTGATTTTTGATTGGAGGGTTGTGTTATATTTTTTCCATTCTTATTGCTATTAAATTTTGTTTTTAAATTTTAGTAATTTATCTTAAATTTTAGTAATTTATCTCCACGGAGATTTTATATTTTGTCTATTAAGTTGTCCAGAAATATTTTCCAGAAGAGAAAAATCATGTTATTTGAAAAGGGGATTTCGGAAGCCGTAAGCAATTGTCCAGAAAATAAAATATACTTTTCACCTTCCTGCATATAACCACCCTCAAAACACAGCAAAAAAAAATGAAGCTTCTATATACATCGTACTAAATAATTTAACATGAACAAGCAAATTATTGAAGAGAGTTATGAACACAAAAAATTGTTGTTGTTGACTCTATCCCCTTTTTCAGAAAAGAGATCACTACTTTCGAATGTTTCATATTGATAAGCATATTTTCATTTCATTTTTGTAAAAAGAATAAAATATTCTAACAAATTACACATATTCTAGATTTGAGCAGATTGCAGGATATTGAAGAAGAACATTGATATACCAATTAATTAAAAATTAATAAAAAATTAGTAAATTAGTCATAATGAACTTGTTAGCTCTTGTTGGACCAGGAAATTACTTTCCAAAGTAAATCATATTTGTAAGTTTATTTAAAACAATTCACATCTCCAACTTGTTTGGTCAATATAAACAAGATGTTGTCATTCTGATTTATCATTTGCCGCAAAAGTGAAATTAAGAAAAACAAAATGCACTGAATTTCAAATTGGAATTTAAACTTAATAAATTTATTACCATCACGCTCATAGTTTAACTTCTACTCCTTTCATTTCTATGATTTTATCAAAATTATAAACATGGTGTTGTCATTCTGATTTATCATTTTCCCCATAAGTGAAATTAAAAAAAAAACAAAACATACTGAATTTCAAATTGGAACTTAAACTTAATAAATTTGTTACCAATCACGCTCATAGTTTAACTTCTACTATTATGGGTTGATGCTAACATCTTTTCGTGAGGTTTCTTGTTTTTTTTAGTTTTGAAATTATTGTAGACTTTAGTTTTTTATAAATTTAATAACAATTAGAAGACGAAAAAGATATAACATAACCCTCTAATAAAAAATCAAGATCAACATCAACAATTATTTTTTTATTAAAGTGAAAAACAAATGAACCAATAGAGCAAGAGCAACAAATTGTGGTGTCACGGGGTTGCCGTGTGTGGATGTGAGAGAGGACGTAGATGAGAGAGAAACAAATTAGATAAGTGAAGAAGGTTGATTAGAGTTTGGTGAATGTTAAAGTAAAAGAGATGGGAATTAAGGATGAGAAAGAGGTGGATAAGGGTTTGGATTTCTTGTTTTTTTTTTTTT